GGGTTAAGATGTATGAATACCTGGCCTCTACCCTAAAGAGCAGAACAGTTGTTTCCATGAAGACCCCCAACTAGTGAAGAGTGAGAGACATGGAGAAAAACAGATAAGCTAAACATATTAATGAACTGATAAAAACAATTGTGCATGCACTTTTATTATCTGGTGATTAGAGCATCAAACAAGTGATGAAGGATCTTCTCATCCATATTGTCGTGTTCTTATGAAGATATTGGAATATGCCACTCTTATGAGGCTTCCTTGCCTTACTTAGACGAGACGTCTGCTTACTTTCTTTATCTGTATGCTAAATGTGCTTAAAAATCAAGAGAATCCATTTCAAGTATGCTAGAGAAACACATACAGACTTTCTTGCTAGTCTAATGTCCCACTATAGTTTCATGATGGTCCAAAAGAGCACAACCCAATGCACAAAAGCTTCTCAAATTTGCAAGAGTTTGGGATAACTCTTTGTATGTGACCTGTCTTTTTTATATTTGCAAAGACACTGTTTCCAGCTTCATGATGACCATCCTACACGATAATACAATATATCTCCTTTTTTTATTCATTTATATAGTGTTGCCTGTGCTGATAGCATAATCCAAGGAGAACATGAATGAGAGGTTGGAGCAGAGGAGGGTTGCTTAGTAATCACAAGGCCTACGCATTAGTTGCTCTAAGATCAAATAAATATTGTGGGGGTTTGGAAGTCAACATTGAAGGTGCCCCAAAATGATTGTTTCAAATTATCTAGGCTCTATGATTTAAAATCAGCTTGAGGTTGAGGGTGCCATAACCATTGCATAAAGATGGGAAAGCTAAAGTGGAGGGCTTCTACGGGGGTGTTGTGTCATGTGTGACAAGAAGGTTCCACTAATACCGTAGGGAAAACTTACAGAATAGCCATCAACCCAGCTATGTTGTATGGGTCGGAGTATTGGGCGACGGAAGGATCATAAGTGGAAGTTGCAGGAATGAAGATGCTTAATTTGACAGGATACCGACCAAGGTCTTTCAAGCGGTGTTGGGAGCTGCGGGGATCCCAGATAAGTTGAGAGGGGGAAGATTAAGGTGGTTTGGTCACGTTCGTAGGAGATAGATGGCAGCTTCAGTGAGGAGGTTATTAACTGTGACAGTCAAGGGGGCGAAGAGAAGACGAGATGAGCAACAAAGGTTGAACATGGCAGCTTTAGGCATTTCCGAGGGCATGACCCTTGATAAGAGTTATTAAAGACGCACAAAAAGCTGACATAGATGTTACGGGTATAATTTTTTTGTATGTTGGTTCAAGGGTGGGATGAGAGACGTAGGGAAGGCCTAGGCTTAGAGGTCAATGAGTGGAGGGTATGGAGGGTAGGGTTAGTGAGCCGATAATTAGGTTACCGGAGTCCTAAGTTAGACTAGGGGTGTATGGTTTCTCTCACCTTAGCTATGTTTCTTGTACCTACTTCTGTTTTTCTATTGTTGCTGTTCTTTCTTGTTCTAATTTCTGCTTTTTCGAATATTTTTTTTCTATGGTGTCAAAAAAAACGTCCTCTTGTTTCACACTTTTCAAAAGCCCGGTGTATTCATCGAAACAACCGCTCAATCTCTATGGGGTAGAGGTTAGGTCTGCGTACATCCCCCACCCCCAGGGAGGGGGGACCCCACCTCCGAGTGGGGTATAAGGGACTAGTTTCATTTGGTTTATGGTTATTATACCGTACAATATGCAATTAAAAGATAATAAGTCACGCCATATAATATGCAGCCCTCCGTCCAAAAACGGGGCAATGTTTGACTTATTGCATGGTATAATAATTAATTATCAAATGCCTAAAATATCCCTTAAATAAACAAAATTGGGAAAATTTGTCAACCATCACAATTACACTCGACATACATCTTGTAATGGGCTAATAAGCAAAACGATAAATTTGAAAGCGATCTTTCCAGAAAAAGAGATGTTGATTCCTTTTTGGGACAACACAAAATAGAAAATGTTAGCATCTTCTAATTGCGACGCAAACCATTAACATGATAGAGAAATATGAAGCGAATTTCAGAGTGAGAAGCGTACCTCTTGCTGCAAAGTTCTATCAACCCATTCCTTGAGTCTATCAACTCGAGTTTTTATCCACGACTTCACCAGATCTACAATCACAGCCTCGGCTTCATAAGGAGTCATCTCTTGAATTATGGACTTTCCACCATCATCGCTGTTGACTGAATCTTCTACCGCCATCTGTACTAAATCTTTTTCCAACTTATCGGCCGCTATTAGCACTTGTATGACAGCAGGAGTCAACTCATTGATTCCTGAAACAAATTTCTGTACCTCTTGTCCAAAACAAGAATGGAGAGTTGCTACTGCCACGCCGACTGCAAGAGGATGCCATCTTTGTAGGATTGGACTGTATATCTCCTTCTCCGTAAAAGCAAGATCCGTAACATCTTGGGCAAGCAAGCAGAGTGCAGGAAGATGATTTAGTTGACTTTTTGCTGATTTTCGGCTTATGCGTACTTTCTCACTTTCCTGAGTTAATAAAAACAGAATGCAACAAAAATTCATAGATTGATCCATTCTTCTTCTTCTAGGCAAACATTTGATACACATTTAACTTTAGATAATATGTCAAAATAAGGACCAGAGCACATTTATCATGGCCTTAAAATGTTGAAATAATATGCTCTTCATTAAGTATTCATGGTTTTGTTTTTATCCTACTAGATTGGTGTAGGGTAATTAGAAACATGACAAACCGGCATTTACTTTCAAATGGAAAACTGATAAATGCAAAAAGATCAAAACTTGCCTGACTAAAAGCTTTGCGCATCGATGACCTGATATAGACGTCAACTTTGGCATCTGCAACATCAATGACTTTCCTTCTACCAGACTCACTAGGATTTTCTTCTGCCAAAATGGTGGCTGCAGATAACACAAGTGATAGAATACTTTGCATCAAGTCAATGTTACCCCTGTAAAACGACTCATGGTAAGCTAAAAGCCCTCTTTCTGCCCATTCCAACATCGAGTTCAATGTCGAACACAAAATCTTGGAATAACCTGAATCCAAAGTTGACTTTGCATCTTTCTTGACTTCTAGCAATAAGTTATCAGCAGCAAAAAGAAAATCATTCTCAACTTGACCTGTTGATACGTAATGGTTGAATAAAACCCATGAAAAACAAAGATTATGGAATCTCTGGTCTATTCCCAGGATTCCCCATGTCTTTTTTATGAGGTCTAACACTTCATCGACCTCTTCGATCATAGATGTTGGCTCTTCAACATCAAAAAGAGCTTCTAGAAGGATTTGGTAGAGACGGAGATTCAATGGTGCCCCATCTGCCCAATGGCATGTGTCTGGGGCAAAATCATCAGATGCCCGACAAGCAAGCTGCATTGTAACAGTCCGTAGGGTTTGAACTGCTTCACTATGTTTCCCAGTCTCCATGGGTCGTGCGTAGGCCCCACGAATAATCTGGCGGAGTTGTTGAGCCGATGGGTCTTTCCTGTCAAGAGGAAGTTTAGGGTGGAGCAACAGTCCAGCCTCGAGTACCCTCAAGTTTCTTCTCTGCCATACTTCATATTCTCGCTGAGTTGGGAAATCAGAAGACTTAAACTGTTGTAAAAGCTCTACGGGTAGAACTATTGACTCAATGCGCCTGCCAAGCTGCAAAACGTTTGTAATTGGAGCCTAGTCAGCTTCACAAGCACAATCTTGATTGACTAAAGTATAGAATCTTCATGAGTTCATGTAAAATTTGGTAATATGTTGAATAAAAGATTGTGATTTAGTGTAAACTAACTTATACTAGATTGAATATTTGCCAAAAACCAAAATGTTGGCAATCTCCATGAGAAGTCCAACTATTAAATTGTTGCAATTTCCACAAAAAACCTAGGACGCTCCCTTGCCATGATTAGGGTTCAGGTTGCAAACACATATGTGAAAATTTTAAGTCCCCAATTAGAGTGGTATAACGGAACCCACATCTAAATCATCCTAATTTTTGCAAATTAAAGAAACCCTAATCTTTGTAAATTTAGGAAAAATGGTAGACGGCAGAAGAAACAAGCTAAAGGGTTTAAATTATTAACTTGATTACCTGTCCAGCGGCAATTCTCAATAATGCACGCCTAACCCTAGAATCAACTTGTTCCGAGATTCTCATTTGAACCCTCATCAGCTCACCCACTGTAGCCGGCCGATTCTCCGTCGCTGACTCGGAACCGTTGTTCTTCTTTTTAGACTTCATACCCAGGGCCTTTTTCACCTTACTGGCCGCCGTCAACGTCAGTGACCTTTGCAGCGAAGGCAACGATGACGCTCTGTCAGATGACCTCCCGGACGACTGAGAGACATAAGTCAACGGCCTACCTCCACCGGAGCTCCGACAAGCCCCGACGAAGATCTCATACGCGGTTTCTCGAAGGTCGGAGTCAGATAGATCCAAACCCAGTTGGCCAAAGGGGTCAGAGAGGTCATTGGAAGACAGTACAGGGATCATATAACCAGCAGTGTTCTCAATTGGCATGACGCCGAATAGCGTTAATGGTGACGTGATGGTGGGATTCTCCGATCCTCTGGTAATTACACAAATCGAAAGATCTCTGGATATCAGAAAAAGCTAAAAAGATGATTGTAATCCGTCAATCAAATTCTGTATAAAAATTTCACGAAAACATGAGAGAATTTGGGATTCATTCTTGCTTGGATTATAAGGAATGAATGATTGCGCTTTGCAGTTGGGGAGACTGTGCCACAGTTGAACGCGGTGCAAACGCCTCCTTTTCTTTATTTTTCTTTTTGATTTTTGATTAATTTTTCGTTGTGTATTATGATCACGCCACGCGTCTATTCGTGGGTTTCAACGACGGGACCCACCACCCCCAAACCTTCAGAGTTGAAAATTGCCAAAATGAAATGAGGCCGCCATAATTAAAATATTAAATTAAATTAAATATTCTTTATCAAAATTAAATAATTATTTAATTATTGAAATAACTTTTGAAAAATTCATATCCACGTAATTTTGTATATTATCATTTTCATATACTTGTTACTATCTATATCATTACAATTTTCATGTCATAAAAATTATATGATGTTATACATATTTTTTACAAAAAATACCAACCAAATTTGGGGTTTTTATACAATATGTATAATTCAGTAAAATAATTTGACTGATAGTTAAATACTGAAACATTCATAAAAAAAGAGAAACTTGTCCCCTGAAACGAATAATAAATATCGAGTCTCTAAGCTTGGTAAAGTGACAATTAACATGGTGTCTAGCACTGGCTCAATTTCACGAAAGACGTTTGCCATGTACTAGGTCACCTCATCTTGTGCAAGCAAGAAGGTTTGCCGAGTCTGTATAGGAAGTGTTTAGAAAAACTGGTCGCTATATAAAATCAAGAGATAGTTTTAAATATCTTAACGATTTTATTCGTATTTAAAGTTTTTACTATATAATCCTAAATAACCCTTGCACCGCCAACCATCTTTCCCTTTCCATCACCTTTCGTTGTCCCATACGGAAGACCAACCACGGTTTTCGAACACCAAGGGGTTGTTTGTTTTTAATAAAAAAGCTCTTAATGTCCTCTTAAGTCTGAATCGGTCAGACATAAGAGGATTCAATGTATTTTTTTTTTCCAATTTAGAGCTTAAAAGCTTTTATTAGGTCTGAAAATTTAAGTGGTTGAGAAACCTCTTATTTCAAATCGTCGTCTACCTACTCTGATCTCTTTACACTCGATTTCTCTGGATCAACTCTTCTGTCTCGATCTCTCATCTCTCAACTCTATCAACTGTCGATCCATATCAACTCTCGATCTCTCATCTTCAAACTTCAGATTTCAGACGCAAAAAACAAACAGTCTGATTGATTCAGATTTCAGACTTCAGCACCACCTCTTAAAAATCAGAAGTGAATTCAGACTTCAGACTTCAGCACCTCTTAAAAAACAAACGTCACCCAAATATCCCACGACTGCTTTGCTCTTCCCCTTGTTTGTCCCGACGTTTACCTCTCCTTAGTCATCTCTCTTCCTTCTCAAATCCCTTTCTCATTTGCAAATGTTGCTAATGAGTACCTGTCATCAACATCCCTCCTCATTTGAAAAGCCTTTTTTTCCCCTTATTGGAGGATTCTACTTGATAACTGAATGGATTTTTATATTGCAAGTTTGTTTAGCTTATATATATACTCTCTTATATGTGTTGATGCAGTCGTTATATAAACCTTCAGTAATTCTTTAACGACCGCTATGGAAGTGAACAATCTCTTCTCTATAAAGTAGCTCTGCGTTACGTAAGAAACATCATTTGACAACCTCTAAGATGTTTTTGGTTTGTAGTGGATCCTTTAGTAGTTTGTGTATGGATATGGCTACGCAAGAATTATGATTGAGTAATTACGTATATAAAATGGATTTATCTATAGAGAACATCACAAAAATGGCCCTTCTTGCAACAAATATTCAACAAATACTTGATTTTTAACGCTAATCATGAAATACCCTATGAATTCGTAATTGGTGGAGCAAAATTGTGAATTTTATTCTTTCTTTAGGTCCATTCCTTCAAAAACGAAAAAGTGGAAGTATCATATCAGTGCATAGGGGTGATGATCATGTGAAGGCGGGGGTGGACCATTTTGCGCCCGACGGCACGATTCGATTTCTCCGGCATGAAACCTACCATGCTCGATCACATTAACGGCAACTTTTTCCATGTATGTGGGGCCCACATGGATTTTTGCGGGGCCTTTCTCATTTCATGAAAATTTTGAAATTGGAGGTTATTTTTGAAGAAAAAAATATTTTTAGGTTATTTTTGTAATCTATACTATCTTATAAAGCATTTGGCTAAAACTCTTAAACCTGTTCATCGCTATCCGATTTCATACCATATCTGAATTCGTGTAACTAACTGCAGATTAACACAATCAAATATAAGATAAACATCCCATTTTAAATATAAAAAATCTAAAATATAATTAGTATAATCGTTAAATTCTAACAGAATACTTAATTATTATCTTTATAAAATTTATAATATTAAACCAAAAATAAATTGTTTTATTATTAAACTTAAATTAAATTATAT